TTTGGAACATTTAACAAACACTGGTATTTCTGGAACTTTTGAAAAATTACGGTATTTTTGAAAGCAAAAAAGTGTAGTATATTGATAATTGCCCCAAAATGTTTATGCAAATGTAATAGAAGGTGAACAAATTAAGTAAGTTTTGAGGTATATATCGATTTTGTATTTTCGTTATTTATTTCTAGAGAGACATATCTCTCATTTCAGGTTAATTTTTTTTGTTTCTTGGATATAAAGGCCTCCCCTACATTCTCCTTTCGGCTGTCAACTAAGATAAGCCATGAAAACAATATTGTCCGATAAGTTCTCGAGCTTGCTCTTCAAGGTTGCATACACATCATCGTTCCACGAGAGATTTCTCAATATCTTTCAAGAACAATATTAATGATCCCCACCCCCCCACCCCCCGTCATTTATTTAGTTTTTACCTATGATATGAGTCAAAAAGTTAACAGTCGTGTAGAAAAATGGTAAGATGATGAGAACAGCTTCCACGGCAGATGAATAAGACGAAAAATTGGAAGAATATGATTGTTTGTTTAGAGGAAAATGTCAAAACTTTTATCAAAAGTTTGATTTTTTTTTTTCATTATAAGATGATAACACTTAATAGAAGAACACATCCTCACGCAATACTTGGGGAGGGAGTTACGACCCCACTCTCCCTGGGAACTCTGCCTTTCTTCTCTTCTCATCCATTCCAGGATATTGGAGAGAGATCATGATTTTAATACGTGATCCCAAACATAATCTAACTTCTCGAAACAATTTACTTTCCAAAGGTAGTCTAACTTAGGCGTTAGAGAGTTTTCAAGAGGAAAAACCTTTATCATTCTCCCAAAAATCTTCCTAGCGATTTTATCTATGTATGAGTGATATGCGTGTCCAAAAGATCATCGTGGCTATATCACTAGAGACGGTAATTTAGGCAAACATACTCCGAGAAGACAACACTTTTATCTAGAACTCTACGATTGTTCACATGTGATGCTCCAAAGTTCTATGCAAGACATCTACAATTTCATACGATGACCCGAAATCCAACCCAAATATTATATGACATGTTTTTCATTATGTTGATAACGAAGAAGAAACATTACTACATATTATATAATTAAATGTCTAAAATGATCTCAATAACTTATATTCCGTTTTTTAATAATTCAACATTGATCTTTTAAATAACCTTAAATATTGATTAGTTTGGATAGTTCGATTATATTTCATTGAATGTTAAATGTATAATATATAAAAATTATGTATTTATTACTCGAAATAAGTAATTAGTTTTGAGTTGAACATAAAAATTTTAATTTACTATTTTAAACTATTAATTTTTTAATATTGTTATCCTGCTCAAAGCGCGGGTACTTGCAGTATTATATAGTTTATAACATGAAGAAATCAAAGAGAAGAATAGACGAATGTTACTTTTCTTAATGAGCAAGGGCTTTGTACGTGATGGGCCACTAACTTTTGTTTTTGGTAATTGAAGTAGGGATATATACTCGGGTTTACTCGAGTTTTAAAAAATTTAGCTACAGGATTAGTTTAATCAGGAAATTACGTTTATTACATGTGAAACAGTGAAAGAATTAAAAAGAAAAAAAAAATCATTTCACAACCATGGTAAGGTCAGCTATAACAAAAATAAATTTTAGAGTTAATTTTCTTTTTACTAATTGGAACACAATTACGTGTTTTTAATTTTCTTACCAAGAAATTTCAACACTACAATGAATAAATACTAGATACATTGTAATTGTTCCGTACAAGTTTGAGAAAACAGACAACTACTGTGGTGATTGTTAAACTAAGAAAAACAATACATGAACATGTGTGGTGCAATAATCGGTTACGACTTACGATTATATGAAACCAGTGTTCACATACATAATGTGTAGTCTTTCAGATATCATATTGATTCTTTTTGTAAACAACCATACTTTACTTCATTAAATAAATAAGATGCATGAATCTTAACGAATAAAAGAAATAATGATCAACTTCGAGATGTACTTCTGATATATCAATGGTTCTAAAATCGTTATTTAGATTCCGTGCATGTTCTTAATTAATTATTTCGGTCAGTGTTTTCCACAGATCGTACACGGAAACAGTTTTAAAACTTAATTATTCAAGAAACGTACAAAATCTTGAACGATTGATCGACGTTGTTGTTCTCCGTTTAAGCATCCCGACCACAAAAATAAATTTTCCTATCCCACCCACGTTTTTAATTGGACATGTTGACGTTTAAAATAGTTCTCTTTGATTTGATCTTATAAGATATTTTTCTATTAATGTAAAGAGTACATAAAAATTAATGCTATTATATAATAAACAATTATATATCAGTTGAAAAATATGCAAACAGAGGGACATATAATATAACCAAGATAAAGATAAGGTCGAAAAACAAATATCATATTCATAAAACTTTATTTTATTTGTTTCGACCAAAATATTTTGTTTTAAAAGTCTACTTTTAATAAGGGACATTTGGTTTGATATTCTAAAAATATTATTAAATTTGAAAAGTAGTCCATACTTTGAAAACTTTGGAAAATAACTTTTTTCTTGGACTAAAAAACAATAATATACTCGTTTAAGAATTTATAATAAAAACATATATGTATATAAAGAATTTTCTAGTTTCAACTAAATTTTGATCAATATATATTTAAGATTTTTTCTATATCTTCTACAATAAACTAAATTTATATTAAATATTTACATATTTAACAGATATAGGTAG